TGAAGCTATATGTTGAGCTTGATGAATCCATTGCTTTTCATTTAAAATAATATGCTGGACCTTGATCAAAAATATTATCAGTATAAACAAATACAGTGATTGATGGATGACCCTGTTGCCAATAACCAGTGAAAAATACCTTAGTTTGGCAAAATAAGTATTCTTTCTTGATTAAAGTTGACAATTTAAGAGATAAACAGACTTCCGAAATATTGTACCTGATACATGCTCTAATGAAATGCGTTGCCCAAAGGCTTGAATACAACCCATTTCTGTGAGAACTATTACTCCTTAGGAAGACTGACTGGTTTTAGGAGAGTTTTTAAGATGATTGAACTGGTCTTGAAGCAGTACCCGAGTCATCCCTGTTTACAGCTCAGCATTTTAAGGAAAAGTGAAAATGATGCCAGTTTGCCATAAACCATTATGAGTAAAACAGCTCAGCATTTTAAAGAAAAATGAAATTGGTGCGAATTTGCCTTAAGCAATTATGAGGAGAAGTAATAGAGCAGCTGCTTACAAGACAGTGCAGACATCTGTGTCTYGGTGGTGCAGTAGACAGCCACATGCAGGAACCTAATCATTTCCTGTGAGGTGAGTCACCCTTGCAGTGAATCAGATCTCTTAGTACTGTATGTGGAGGTCTAAGATTGAAATGTAGAGTGCATCATTATTTGAGAATATATTTCTTCTAGCACAAAAAAAGAAGTCTGCCCCATAAAAAAAAATCAATGCCAATCTTTCATTGCCTCAGACTCATTGTATTCTTATGGATGGGAAAACTATTTGCATATGCATTGATTAAATGGGATGAATTTGTTATTTCAGGTACATTCCTTGTGAGTTGTTATAATTTAATCGAGGCTGTGCAGAGTCCTAGGGGAAGTAGCCAAGTGTGATATATATCTACATCATTAAAAATAATTTAAGTTGTGATGACAGCTGGAAAATAACCATACAAGTGATTTCAGTGTTGCATATTTATTTGTTGTTAGTGATAAATCATTGTTGGCTTTCTCAGTTTACAAGCCAAAAGGCAGATTGTTAACATTTCAGTCTTCACTCTGGGATCTGAAAGTCAAGTAAATAAGTGAATAGATACCTGTGTAGGTAAATATTTAGTCCTTACTATCATGAATCTGAGCATCCTTTGCTCATTTAATCCCAGATGGCCCCTTGAGGTAGGTAAATATTATCTCCAGACTACTGATGGGCAACTGAAGCACAGGGCTGAAAGTAACTTTGTGGACGGTGGCTTTAAAGAARGGGCTTTTAAGAAAGGATACAAGATTCAATGTTCAAGTTAGCTGAATATTTATGATATTATTCTAGGTGATTTTTTTTTTTTTTGATGCTACCATGACTGAATTGATCACAGGTCTCCTGAGACCAAGCATAGTTACCTGCCCTTGCTAACAAAGGGAATTGACATGTACAATGAGGAAGTGCTGTTTTTTATGTTAAAACAGATTTCTGAGTAGAATTTTGTTGAAATATTATCTTATTCCCCTGTAGGAATAAGATAAATAAATCTAATTTAGGGAATTAGATGCTGAAAAGATTATAAGCTTACCAATCACATAATTTTTGAATATTTTTTAAGGATCACTTAATTTACTGCTGAACAAAACAAAACAAAACAAAACAAAACCCATTAGAGCTGGGAAGCAGCAGCTTTGTTGGCCAACTCAAAACAGTGTGACTCTTCTCCTTGCCAAATTTTGTCTTTGCCAAAACAGAGTTACCTGGTGAAATACAGTAGTGACTTAAAGAACAAGACCACATGGGAAAAAGAAAACTAAAAATCACATTTTTAAATTAAGAGAGAGCTGTAAAACTGAAATTACCATTTTCTAGCTTTATTTAGTATATATGATTCCTGGCTGTCAGGACAATAAAACCCACAGTAGGGTTATCAGAATCAACATTAAAAATACAACTGCTAAACTCTTCATCAGTTTATGCACTTTAATTTGCATTGATCCTTTTCTTCTAATGTAATTGGAAATAAAGGTATGAACCAGAAGAAGCCAAATGGAACTATAGGTACAATACAGTAAAGTTATCAAAGATCTTTTAAATAAGTTGGCCRATAAGACAGCTTTGCACCACTGTTTTGTGTATGGAATTTATTCCAGGTGAAAAACAAGTAAATCTAGTTCAGCAGTTTTAAGACTTTGCAGTTATTACAGATGAGGAAGGAATGAGTTTGGAGACAAAAATCAAAACAGCACTTTGATCCTGTCAAATCCCAAACTCTAGGAACTGATCAGAAATGCAATTCACAAGAGTTATATATCCTAAATACAGTCAGATTACTTATCAGGAAATACAGGGAAAAAAACTTTCAGATAATTCTCTGAATGTGTTTACTGTCACTAAATACAGGAGATCTCATAATGAACAATGCTCTTTATGCTACAAAACCAGAATAATACAATTAATAATATAATAAAATGTAAATAAATATAATAAATGTTATATAACATGATCTTGAAGATAGCGCAACTGTGATGCTTTCACCCCCTAAATAATCTTTGTACAGAGAGCTGTAAGACGTTGCTTCATTTATAACCTAAAATATTGTTTCTTTCTACCTAAAATATTATTTCTTTCAGGAATGCAACTGATGCACTCGCTATTCAGTTGGTAGAATATACACTTTTGCTCTTCTGTTATGGTATTAATGTATTAGATGTTTCTCAAAACATCAAGAGAATTACATATGTATGAGCCTCCGAGAAGCCCTTTGAAGAAAAGATGCTAATGTTCTTGTTCTTGAAAGAATATTCTTGTATCGTTGAGAGGTATCAGCGACGCTGTCATTTTTCTTTCATGTTTATTGAGTGGGCAATGCTCCCTTCTGGTCACTCACGAGAGTCTGAAGAATACTTTAATGCAACAGATTGCCATTGCAGAAGCAGCCTGGCAGTTGTCTTTTCACCGGATTCGGAGCTGATTTACTGCAGGACTAGCAAATGGGAAGTGGGGCAATGCCAGAGCTGCTGCAGTGCGTCTTCGTTGCTCACTGATGCCCCTCTCATCCGTGGGAATCTTCTTGGTGGTTATGCTGGTTTCAGGGCAATTTTGTGAAGCCCTGATCTGGTGCCAGTATGTGGGCTTGTGAACATGATAGTACAGAACTATTGTGCTTTATTTGATTTTCTTCAAGTGCTTTGAAGTCCACTGTTGCCTGAGTATCGATACTTCTTTGTAAATGAACTGAAATTAATATGTAGCTTATGAAATTCGGAGCCTATGTATTAGAGCTCTTTTCAATCTATATCATCTCTCCTTTAGAAAGGCAATATTCAGGGTTATAAGCATAATAAAAAAGGAAATGACTTTAGGGTATAAATCTTAATTTCTAACATCCAAATTAAAGCCTGTTTAATGCATAAGAATATTAACAGTGAGAAGTACACTTGTGGTAATATGGACCAGGACATGGATGCAATATGCTTGAACTAAATCAAATTTTTTCTAATGACCTATGTAATCTGTGTGTAATCTCTTCTAATCCCTGTGTAATCTATTCACTAAAATTATCAAGATTTTCTTCACTTTGCGAGAGACGATTTAGGATCTGGTTACACTACACTGTGATCAAGCTCTTTACCTCACTAAAACAGGTACTTTAAAGACCAAAGACTGTGTTTGTGTAGCTGATACATCATTCATTATAGACATAGCTGAAATACAGTAAATATTGGCAATTGGTAACTCCTGGAGGGAATTTTTCTTTATGGCAGTCTTTCAGTAGTAATGTAACAGGATTTAATCATTGTTAATTGCAGAGCTTAATTAACTGCTAGTAAGCACCTATTAGTGTGCTAGTCCTATCAAGCGGAATTAAGGGCTGTTTATGTGAGTAACTGCTACTCGATAATAATAAAAGTTCCCCCATTTGTTCCTGTGATTAAAATTGGAAAAAATACAGGAGATACATGGTAGACTTATTTCTAAATATCTTCTTGCTTTCACTGTACTTTGGGTTCACCTTTTTTGCAATGAATAGTATTGTGGTTGTATGTAGACTTGTATGTGCATGTTATGTTCAGCTAGTATACTGCATGTGTTCAAAATAGACATTTATGCATACAAAATACAAATTAGGTGGACCACTAATAATTTGTGCATATAAATTATCCATTTTAGATACCACCAACTTAGTTTCATGTGCAGATTAAAAATAGAAATAGAAATAGAAATAGAAATAGAAATAGAAATAGAAATAGAAATAGAAATAGAAATAAATAGAAAAAATGCCCTGAATATTTCAGTTAAACTTTATGCCCAAGACTGATGACATATATGACTGTTTTAATGATTATTAATTGTGGGCAAAACATTGAAGTCTTGGAGGTTTGATTTGGATAGGTACAAGAAGTATGAATGCTATTCCATTTTACAGTTATCAAAAAATTCTCTTTCTTCAAGCCTCGAGAAAGTATACACATATTCTAATTCTGTGTTTGGTTTCCAATAGACTCCTCCATTTTTGTATTTTCTCAGAGAAGATTGGTTTAATCTTAAACTGTTTTTTTCCTTCTGCCTACTTTTCCCATTATAATGATAACTACAAAGTTGGAAGAATTCGATGCATTTGACTTATTACTAAAGTAATTTAGTTTTGGGTTGCATGAATCAATTAGATCTTTTTTTTTGAGCAAATTACATAAATATTCAAAGATTTCTTATTCTAATCTGTGATGTTAGTAAGTTTCCACTGCAAGATTAATGATGGATGCCTTGGAGATGTGTGCTACTAATTATGCTACTAATTAGGCTATCTGGCTCTTTGTGGTAGGTTATGCATCAAACATTACCAAACAAACCGTAATGAAATAAGAAGCTGCTTATTGTATGAGATGAGAAGAGTGTGCTTAACGGTGTTCATTTGATGATGATAAACACGTTTTGAGCTGGAATGCCACTTAATTCATCAGTTTCTCTGTTAAAATATTTTAATCAAAACTACAATGTTTTCTCAATGCTAGAATTCTGCCAAACATCTGGCTGGGAAGTTGTCCTCGACAGGTGGAGCATGTGACTGTCAAGCTAAAACACGAGCTGGGTATTACAGCTATAATGAACTTCCAGACCGAATGGGATATTGTGCAGAATTCCTGGGGTTGCAACCGCTACCCAGAACCCATGAGCCCTGAAATCCTCATGAAACTATATAAAGAGGAAGGTCTTGCCTATGTCTGGATGCCAACCCCAGACATGAGCACTGAAGGTAATGCTGAGACCAGTCTTGCAGCTAAATTAACAGTAGCAAAACCTTTGAGTCACTAATCTGTTTTTACCTTGGCTGCTTTTTTTTTTTTTTTTCTGTATGTGAATTTTGTTTAAAAATGTAGCAAGAGCACAAGCTGTGATTTTTGAGTGTTGTCTGTAACGAATTATGTATACCTTGTTGTAGGTGGAGAGGTCATCCTAGTACTCCCTAGCTGGCAGTAGAAGTGTATTTGAGTTTAAAACCATCTGACATTGATAGCTGACTGTTTTTGCTTTCAACTTGAATTCAGCCTGTGCAATGAAAATATGCTGTGTAGGTGGAAGACTACGAGCTTGGACAACAAAAAAGCCTGGTATCCTTGCTGTCTTAAAATGGCAAGACAGCACTGTGTATCTTTTTCTGCCATCCCCTTCCCCTTAAAAAACATTTTTCCTTCTCTGTGATTTCCCAGATGGCTGAATCGCTCTATGGTCATTTATATAATGGCTTGCAGTTAATTTAGGATACACATAGCACAATATAACATAAATTAMATTTTTTTTTAATTTCTCCATTGGCTCAGCTAAAAACCTTACAAAATCTTATTTTCAACACAGAGATCAAAATATAAGCATATTTTTGTGTGACTAGCCTACCAACAGGCTAGAATGCTTTCAATAGGGTGAAATGCTKTTGCCACAAATAGCAGTGATAGGACATCAGAGAAGACAGGAAGCCTTAAAATAGGGACTTGAAATGGCTCGCCTGCACCATGGGAAAAGTCAGGCTTTGAGGTTTGCATTTTCCTTTCTCAGGRCTATAGGGAGAAAGAGATCTGGAAACATGGTGTATTTATCAYTTTAGAAGTGAAAGCCTATTCTGTGTTGTTTAACCATATTCTCAATAGATAATGGAGTAGTAACGGTACTCAGTTCCAAAGGACTCATTCTGCCTCCCTCATTGCTACTGAACTGTTGACCTTCATTATAAGGTTTTGGAAGTGGCAGTACAGTGGCAGTAGCTTCACAGAACTAAGAAGCACAGAAGATTTGGCTATTCATATGGGTTTTGTGTCATCTGGTCTTATGATGCAAGCAGACAYTAGGGTAGAAGATGATTAAAAAAAGAAAAAGTAAAATCTAGYGGGTTTTTAAAAGATAGTAGAGACTCTGGCTATCCAGTGCTTAAGACATGTTAAAACCAAACTCTTTAATAGTATGGGATTAGATACGCTCAAAATCACAATCTCCTTTGAAAACATTGTTTGTAGCTTATTTAGGAAGCTATTCACCAGATAGCCCACCTAGAACTACATAGCTCCTAATTCCCTATTTCTAGTGTTAGGAAAAAACCCTAGCTTTATCGATTTTTATTTTTTGCCTGCAGTGCATAAGGCTATACAAAGATAATCGCAACCATGACCATAAAAGTCAGTTCATGTGTCTTACTTTAATCTTAGGAAGGATACAGATGTTGCCCCAAGCGGTGTGCCTCTTGCACGGGCTTCTTGAGAACGGCCACACTGTCTACGTGCATTGCAATGCTGGCGTGGGCAGGTCCACAGCTGCGGTCTGCGGCTGGCTGAAGTACGTGATGGGATGGAGCCTGCGCAAAGTGCAGTACTTCGTGGCTTCCAGGAGACCGGCTGTCTACATAGATGAGGAAGCTCTGATTCGTGCTGAAGATGATTTTTACCAGAAGTTTGGACCTCTTCATTCCTCGTGCAAACTTCAAACCTAGAAAAGTAGAGGAGGAGAACAAAAGCGAAGAGGGATCCTCACGTGTCAACCCCAAGGATTTAGAGTTCACGAATCTCAGTCCTGTCTCTTCTCTTCAGATTACAGGCTTGTCTTAAATGTCCTGAGAATTTAACTAAAAAATGCCTCTGAGTGGTTTTTTTTTTTGCCCCTTTTAAGCTGCTGCAATTCATGCCTTCAAGCTTATTGCTGCAAGTATGAGAGGCAGAGACTGTGTAAAAGGGAAACAAAGATTCTCATTTAATAATTTGCCTGTAGAAACTAAGGTTTGATGGTAAACACTAAATAAGAGAAGATTTGATATAAAATAATGAAAGTTGGCAACACTGCAATGACAAGAAAGTGAAGGTGTTCTCCAAAACACAGTTGCAAAGGTTGACTGGTTCAATGTTCAGGTTAAGAGAGAGCTGATAGTCAAAGCTGCTCAGATATTGCAGGTAGAATGTGCATTATTCACGTGTTTTGTACTGATTTTATAAAGAAATTGTATTAATGGGGAAGATCAGAAGGAAATGGATTTTTGAACTGTATTCTTTAAACATAAACCTACTGTCTATGCAGCATTTTCTCTCTTGTTTACTGTAGAGTTCATGTTAAATATTATAACTATATTCTTTAATAACTTTGAAGTTATGCTGGAATATGGCATGAAGAAAGGAAACAGTTCTGTTTATGCAGGCTTATTGCAAGGGAGAACTACTGTTTATTGCATTATCCTAGATGGTGAGGTTTCTAAACTGAATATACATTTTGCTCTTCTGATCTATGCAGTATTGTACAGTGAGCTCTCTAGGTGCTATGTCAATCTATATGGCAACCCMCAACATAAACACAAACAAACAAATAGAATATAGAGGAGGAAAAAGCTGATGAGCTTTTACATGGACCTCTTGTTACAATACCAAGAACCAAGCTAAAATTCTGAGCCAAAAGCTCAGTTTTGTTGACCTAGCTTAATTTCTTCACAACAGCAAGAGTCTCTCATTCTTGGGCAAGCAGCATGTTGACATTTGTAGATGCTAGATTTAGCCTAGGCAAGCTAATGCTAGGCTAGCCCTATGCTGAATGGAATGAATATGCTCTATAGGAGCAAAAGCACAGCTCTATAGAGGCAGTTCTCAGGAACTTAGCCTCAGTTGGCTAATGTTGGTTTTGTAGATGATCTCTAATATTTTACCGTGCTCTTCAATCCCTTAGCTAAACTAAGCAATGACACCAATAGCTTCCAGCCCTGCTCAGATGAAACCAATTTACTGTAGCTCAGGGCCAAGAGAGAGGGGAGAGAAATCATTCCCCAAAAAACAGAGGGCATTGAGGAYTAAGGATGCATAAACATTAAGTAAATGTTTTCTATATATTTATTCTTAAGTGTTTTTTTCAGTCGAGCAACTTGTCCCTCTAAAGATTCAGTCAGTGCCAGAGTAGTTTGGCTGATACATACTGATTATCTGAACACTTAATGGAGAAACTGTTTGATATGAACTGCTTATGGACAATGTCCAGCATTATACAATACAGTGTTTTATTTATCTAGCACTTTAATTATCTTCCAAAGGAAAAATGTTAATTTAAATTATTTTGAATGTGTGGGTTTGATCATGGCTTTGTTTCTGTTTTCTGCTTTGAAATAATGCTGTCTATTTAAAAAGCGGATGAGGAAAGATCACCATTAAATAAAAACTATATGACAATTACAGCAGTCCATGTTGTCTTATGTCTGCCAATTGCACAAATAGCAACAAGTGCCATGATTGATGCTCGTATCAATCAAGGCAGGACAAGGCAGTTACCACAGTAACTGTCTTATTTCTTGTCTCCTATGTCAGTTTTGACAGGTTGTTGCCAAGGCAGTCTTGGAAAACAGGGCACAGCTAAATGTATGGKTATAAAGTGAACCTGGCACCTCTGATCTCTCCCAAAGACCAAAAGAAGGGCCTATTTCTCCAGAGGGAAGGTCTCAGCGCTGCCCTCTGCCTGCTGGGCTCTTGGTTTTGGGAATTACAGCTGATCTCCCAAGATCACCCAAGAGTTCATTTTGATTGAATTTAAAGGGAAAATGATAAGCTTATGCTGAGGTGTGGCTCAATAAAACCCAGCACTGGGATGAGGAGGATGGCCTGAGAAGAAAGGAGAACTCACATAAATTTCACAGTTCTGTTGAGATTTATTTGAAGTGTGAAATCATCTCTGATTGTGCTTTCTGTCAAATGCTAGTAATCCACCAGTAATGCACAACTAGATAGGTAACTAGAAGTGCTGGTAACATACTAATAATACTGGAACAAGTACTTCTGACTTTGCTCCTTATATTGTAGTTGTTCTCCCACTAACTATATTTTCTTTTGAGGTCTTTGGGGACAGAGGAGTGTATAGCATGGCATTGGCTAAGGAAGTGTGTGATGAAGTAAGCCCATCTGTGCTGTAACAGCTATTCCCCAATTCCAATCTCAGCAGCGACAGAGGCACGTAGGGTTGTTACCCTGCTGTTTATTGCCATTTCAGTTTCCTGTCTGTTAGGCTGCTTGGGACTTTATTAGCTGGTAAAATGCTTGGAAAAAAACAAGCTTGCCAGCAACACACTGGCAAGGAATGCAAAGACTTCCCATGGCTTGGGACCTCTCTGTACCTATTTGTGGTAGATGTTTTTTTCTCATTGTTGTCTGTCTCCCTTCCTCGTTGGAGGCCGTCCTGCCGGTAACGTTCATTCACAGCCCTCTCTGTTGAGTACAACTAGAAAGCACCAGGAATGTAAATGATAAAGAAATTACTGCAAGAGGCTAGGCAATAGAAAGCACAGCCATATAAAAGTGTTCCATTTTTCCAACTGTATAATTACATGATAAGCCTGCATCTAAAGCTTATCTATTAGAATACTAATTTGTAATATTCCCTTAGGTTGCTTGGGTCATTAGCTATATCCACATACAAGACTATTTATGCAATTTTGAGGAAAGGATGAGGACATTTCTGAGGTTTATATCCTTGTACATTTTCCTGCTAGTCTAGTCRTAAAATGCTAAGATATTTAGAGCAGAATAAGGCCTATAGAGAGAATTAGAAACAGATGAACAAGARCAGTTATTCTAAAGTGTACCCAAGAAGCCAAATTAATACACAGACCCACTAAGGGGAATGAAATGCAAATGTTTTGATAACTTATCATGGAAAAATATCCATTGGAGGAAAWTGTTTTCTCTTAATAAGAGCATAGTGGTAGTCCCTGCCTGTTATAGCAGATTTTTATCTTTGTTAAACTAAAGATGGCAGTAGAATTTGCTAAGTAGAATGAGACAATCTATAATTCCAGGTACTTAGACTACCTCAAAAAGATTATTAGGCCTAACAATAAAATATATTCCTTCCCAGGGCTATGCATGAGAAGGAACGAAACACTCTTAGCACATTATGTGTGCTAATAATAACTAAAAACTCTATGCACACTCTTATGTATAATTTTGTAGTAAACAGCCCTGTATGGGATGGGTTGGGAGAACTGAACAGTGTGKTTTCATGAGTATTTTTCCTTTTGATATTAGGAAGCGGATAATGAGAATCACCTGAGTGAGGTTTTTAGGTAGGGTGTACAGTTTGGCAGAAGGGAGACTAGGCTGGCTGGCAAGATTGGTGGATACTTTTGGGGACCACAGGCAAAGATGAAGCTAAAACCTAAGCTCTAGGTTATGCAGGAAAGGGTAATGAAACTCCCGTTTAAAACAAGAATATGCAACATATCAAATAATGTACATCAGGAAATAGAGTCTTGCTGTCAAAAGGTCAGACCTATTCCATTATGTTCTGCAATGGACTTTTTCAGTTCTAGTTTATAGACTACATGCTGACACATGCTGATAAAAAAATGTTGGTTTGCAGTAGTCAAAGAAATAAGGCACAAATTCATGATCTTGCCTATTTTCTTCATTGTTCCTCATTAAATTGCAGAGAGAGGTTTCATATCAATGGTTATACTTAAAAAAAGAAAGCAAAMTTAATGTGATTCATTAAAATATACACCAGGACTATGCAATGGAAAATTGTGAAGAAATCTTCAGTAGTGTAATAAGTACCAAGAAAGCCCATATTTGGCAAGCATATCCTAAACTCTTACAGGATAATGGACATGAGGCTACCATTAGCTAATGTGGAGTTRTATTAATGTAACAGAGGACAGGATTTAGATGACTGTAACAATAAATGTTTACATACTCAGAGTTAAATCAATGTCTCTGCAGCTCTTTCTTTGAAAATAGCCCATTGTAAAAATTTGTGCTTTATTTTCTGCATGCATATAACTTAAAGCAAAAAGGGCTGTTCTCTTTCAAACAGCAGAGGTATAAAGGAATTAATCCTTTTTCTCACGGCTAGTGACACAACAATGCCATCATCAGTAGCAAGATCACATCGCATCWCTTCGTATTTCCTAAATTAGCAAAGGAAAGCAATTTTTTTCAAGGACAATAACATTTCTACGCATTAGCATAATTGCTTAGTTCTGACATAAGCAGCTAAAATACATGTTGGACCTTCAGTTATGCTAGTTGCATAATTGTTGCTAATTGTTCATTCTAATTGGATTTTGTTTCCCTCTTTCTCAGGCCTTTTACCCTAGGATGCTTCATTCCAGTCTTGATTTAGTTTAGGAAAGGTTTGTAGCTAAAAGCTGTCATATTTGTAAAGATAATCAAGTGAGTATTTTATTAACCCTTTTTACATATCAAAACTTTTCTCAGGATAAATGTATAAGAGAYGGAATACACAGTAAAATGAGAAGAGTGACATTATAAATGTGMGTACTATATTACTCAACCATTTTGTGCTTAAATACATTTTCTTAACTGAGAAATTTGAATTTACAGAGACTGCAGAGTAATGCCTGTGATTTGATAATTACTTCAATGCTGATGTTGTTATATTTACATCAAAGAAAATGGAAGGCCTATTTATTCATGAGCTGGTAAAATATTACATATCTCATTTTTGATTTAGATGAGGCCTAGGAAAATGCATTAAAAAAGCTGCCAAGGAAAATTTTCTAATGCTGGGCGTGTTTCTGTGGTATTTATTTAATGCCATTATAACAAAATTTGTTTTCTGGTAATGCAAGTTCAGCAGGGAAATAATTAACAGCCAGGCTGCCCTCCAAGAGAAGCAGCCATGTTTGAATTGGGCAGCCAGCCCAAAGTCATTGCAACAAATCAAAGGCCAAGAAGAATTCAATCTTAAAATTCAATAAAATATATAAACATAGAGATTAAGGGATGAGTATAAGATTGTATTTGGAAAAAAAAAAAAGGAGAAATATATAAATAAGCAATATAATCACAGCTAATGCCAAAGGGAAGAGTATTCTGGAATGAGATCACAGACACCACAACTCACTTGAAAAGATAATCAATATGTTAGATTAAAATATGGCTGTTATTTAAAGTTCACTAGCTGGTTAAAGGGGTGCTACCAAACTATGTAGGTTTAAAATGCAGTTTAATGATATAAAGAAAGAAATATAGCTGGGTACGTTCTTAGAAAGATGGACCAATTTTATAGCCTCTTTTGGGCAATGAACTCTTGCAGTAAACCTTAGCAGGAGGTGCTTTATGAGCAAAAAAATGGCCATCAACGGACTGTGGTTTAGCAGTCAAATGAGTCCCTTGTATGTAGAATGTATTTTGAAATAGGATCGATTAGGCTTTGCTTTAGAAGAAATGGGATGGACAGCTCTTAAAATGTTCTTAAGTGACAGCCCCAAATGGAGGTCTAGACAAATATATGTCTCAATAGAGTCTTTGCCATCAAGTGGAAATGTAAGATGTATATTGCTGCAAAAGCATAGCCTCTTGAYGATTTTTTTCTAAGCAACACCTGTGCTTAAAGGCAGAGCCCCAGAACTGACAAATTTTAGTTGTGAGCAGTATTGGCTGTGGCACCAGGTAGTTACCTGGCAAATGCCATCACTCAGATGTGCACCAAGTTTGGCAGAGCTGGCCTGATTCAGAGAAATGATGCTGTGTTGGTGTCCACAGTGCTCCAGTAAAAGAGTTAAACTCCTTCTGGCAAAAGCTTTAGAGAGTCCAGGGAGATCCAKATGGGAGCAGGAGTGGGATCCAGCCTGGAAAATACCAGGCAGGTCCTGAACCCAGTTCTGTCACTGACTCTGCAGGTGAAACGGATTAAACCATTTCCCCTCTCTACCTGAGTTATTCTGTCTCTTCAAATGATTCTTGTGATACTTAAATCAATCAACAGTCAGCAGGTGACTGAATGGGACAATTGTTATTCTTGGTGTCTCCCCACCACGATGACTGTGTGAGTGGCACTGAGAACTCCTGCAGTTACTATCTCAAGGACTTTGCAACTCTGGGTTAATATGGTCAAAATGATCAACTTAAATTTCACAAGGAA